TACATCACAGTTCAAAATTATGAAAATAGGAAATATTTCTGTTTCAATCGAAATGGATATAAAAATACTGTTCTATTTATAAAAAAGAAATTATAAATTTATTGTAAAATAAAAAAAAATTTATAGAAAGATTTATTTTCAAGTCGTTGTTTTCTTTTCTATCCATTTCATAAACAGAAACAAATTTATGCCCTCAAATATCAATTCATTTCAATTCATTTCAATTCAACTCCGGTCTCTAAAGTGTGAACTAGGATAAATTAAAATAAATTGGAATTTTTAATTCATTTCAATCCATTCTCATTTACTAAAAATAATCACTACGAATTAAACGCATTTAGTCAAGTTATTATAATAACTTTTTTCTCAATGCATACAAATAAAAATGCAATGTTGAAAAGAATTGAATATTCCAAAGTTAATTTTCTCAATCTTTATGGCAATATTCTTAAATATTTAAAGAGGCGGATTAATGAATTCGGTTATTTTCTTTTTTATTTAAAGCAGAATAAAATCTTTCTACTATACTTAAAACATTGCAATAAGATGCGCAATTTACCTTGAATAACGGATCGTCCGGCAAATGTTTCAACGCGAACTCCCTCTGGCAGGTATACCTCGGATCGGTTTTCCTAAGAACAGCATGTCCGTAGCCGGGTACGACCTGGCCACTCTTAAGTGTATTCCAGATGAATTCCTTAAGTTTGTCGTCGCTGGGACTGTCGCCGACCTGACCGCGCAACTTCTGCAGCCATACCAGTACTTCCTGATTAGCCAAACCGTGCAGTGGTCCGGCAAGACCATTCATACCGGCGGAGAAGGATAGGTACGGATCTGATAAGGCGGATCCCACTAAGTGGGTGGTGTGAGCGGACACGTTACCACCTTCGTGATCCGAATGGATCGTCAGGTAGAGACGCATCAGTTCGATAAATTGCGGATTGTCATAACCGAGCATGTTAGCAAAATTCCAGGACCAATCTCGACCAGCGTCGACGGAACCCAAACCCTTGCCGCCCTTGTAGATGTTGCGATAAATAGTGGCGGCAATCACCGGCAGTTTGGCGATCAGATTCATCGAGTCCTCATACACGCTTTCCCAGTACTTGCTTTTGTGCACACCCTTGTTATACGCCTTAACAAATTCACTCTCGCTGTTCAGCAACGTAATCGCCGCGGAGAACTGCGTCATCGGATGTAGAGTCTTGGGGAAATTGTTGAGGGCCTTGACCACGTGCTCGGGTAACGAGCTTCTGGATGCCCACTCCTGCGAGATGGCCTTCACCTGCGCTTCCGTAGGCACGTCGCCGGTAATCAGCAGCCAGAAAAGACTCTCTGGGAGCGGTTCCGCGCCGCCGGATGCCTTCGGCAGAAGTTTCTGACATTCGGGGATTGACTTCCCGCGGAATCGGATGCCCTCTTCGGGATCCAGTACCGATGGTTCCCATACGAGGCCCTTGATGCCGCGCATACCGCCGTACATCTGCATTCAAAGTAAAGTATGTTAGATAGCAATAAAAAAAAACTTTATTAAAATATTATTGTAACAATTATTTTCGATTAGAAAATACTTCTTTCGGCTGCCTAAATCCTCTAAACTTTTTAAGTTTATTCTAATTAATTTTAATAATTTTAATATAGTCGTGAAAGATTAGAGTTTATTTATTAAAATATTCAAATTTCTCGATAATCTTCTTCAATACCACTAATATTTCCCATTTATTAATTAACACTAACAATATTCTGCGAGGAATCCTAACATCGTGGCTGCGAGATAAGGTGATTTTGAGGTCAACCTTGAGACTGGAAATTTGAAAATTGCAATAAAGCAAAAGTGAGACCTCTAACTCCCCGCGAAGATTATCACAGGATCTTTGATCCAAATTTAACGCATACCGTGACCCTTTTCTTGGGTCGGAAAATCAAATAGAGGCAATAAGAAGAACAATATTCTGACTCGTGTACAAGCCTATATTTAAAAAATATTAGCCTCAGAGTTATTAATTGTGCAGAGATCGGCGATAAGTATAAAAGTAGGCCCACATAGCGTGATGAATGAGGTCTTCATGCGCGATAAGTAAATCGTCACGTACGAGCCAGCTTATTCGATAACTATTAATCATCACGCGCTGCATTCGGCTGATAGTCAGCAAAAAAAAATATACTACTTATTGACGCTGCATGCGACGATCAGAAACTATCAACGTGCGTTACGATTATCATATAACAAGCCTGCAGGCTTTATCAACTCACACCCTCAGGCTGGTAACGCGATTAATAATCCATCTATCTTCCTCCTCGATCGAATTTATGATTATTATAACTCTTAATGATAGATGCGAATATCTATAATAATCATTACAATACAGTTAAAATCAATCGCAATAAAAAATTTTTAATTAAAAATGTTAATAATGTGTAGGGCCGCATATCTCTTTCCTATCTTAGAAATAATATTTTATTTTAGAAAATCATTGTTTCTCTGATTAAATTAAAAAATAATTAAAATTACTAATCAGGGTTGAACTATTTTACGATAATAAAAAAATTGACTCATTAAGTGCGTACCATGTCGACGGTGACTTCTCCGACTTTGGTAGATCCATGATCCTTACGGAAGGCTTTGACTCGCTCCTGTTCCTTCGGGATCCTATCAGTAAGAACCTTTTTAAGATCCGTAGATGCATCGCTGAGCTGCCGTACGAAGATCGCCGATGTTATTTTCTGAAAGGAAAAGAATTATAATTAATAGCTGCTGCGGGAAAAACGCAGAATTTATTAAAAGCTAGAAATCTTAGGAATAAATACAGACGAAAGTTATTCGAATGTATATCAAAATCAACCCTTTAAAGACACACAATAATTTTCCGATTTCTCGCTACATACTGTGGGTCGTTTGTGTTCTCGTGTTTTTTAATTTTTATCATTTTTACACAAAAATTATTAAATAACCATACATATATTTTAACATATTTACAAAGTAAAGGTTGCTTATTAAAAAAAAAATTAAAGAAACCATTATTTAGCCAAGGTCGAACTCCTAATATTATTTCCAAGAAATGCAGGAACGCTAATGACTCCAATCGTGTGTTTCTCAGGATTAAATACGGCAAAAATTATAAATTATATTATGCGATTCTGTATAATTATACTATAGAGTTAAACAAAAAAATAGTCTTATCTTTTTTCAATAGACGACTTTTGTAAGCATAATTTGATTATATGCATTCAATAAGAATATATTCAAACAGAATGAAGCTTGAAAGAAGTGGTGAGAAAAAAATGCTTTATGAATAAGATTTTACACATTTAAAACTTGTCTTTCAATTCCTCTAGAAAAGAAAAAAAAAGAAACGCGAAAAATTCTTGCTCAATCCCCAATAAATTAAATTATACAATTTCTACAATTTTTAACCTCTATGTCAAATGAAGGATAAAAATTTAAAAGTTGACATTTAAAATAAATACTCAACTCTACTCGATTTTTTCTCGAGTTAATTTCTAAACCACAAACTTCTGATCATTTGTTTTCCGTTTTCAATGCTCTTGCGGAACATTTTATGCGTGACGTACGTATTGTATAGAGAATTGTCACGGTGGAAGACACATGTGGATTACGTAAAAGCGACAGACTGCTAACTATTGCCAATGATGCACGCAAGTGTTCGTTAGGTTAATAAATTTACATTAAAAAATTATAATTTCATAATGCCACAAGAACAAAAAACAGATCCCATGATAACAATTTTTTTATGCAACTGTCTCGTGTAATTCATAAAATTCACAACATATAATTATAACATTTTATACAATTATGACAGATTTATACCTAAATTCTAAACAGAAGGCTCTTAATATATTCCTGTAAGACTTGTAAGAATTTTTAAGTGCTTATATCTTTATACAATATTTTTACAGACAACTTCTTACTAGCCATAAAATTTACAAGAAATCGTAGTTATTTACAAATAATCGTATGTCTTACGTATAAAATTAGAATACTAGTCATAAGTTTTTTCAAATTTTACGAGAACAAGTCTTACGATTCTATTTAGAATTGACTCATTAATACTTTACTTTAAGGAAGATGTTATTGATATTTTTATACATCTATTTGTGTCTGAGAATGGAAATGTAATGGAATGAACATGAAAAAAAATGACATGAGATCGATTTATTGATATTCTCATTTATATTTCTCCCTAAAAATAAAAATTTATGAAGAATCAGAATTATTCAAAAATAATTTTCCAAATTTTTTTTTTAATTTTTATTCGATTATATCGATCACCAATTGAATCTAAATTTTGAAGACAAAGCATGCAATACTTATATTTATACGCGAAATGTTATGTATGAAAGAATTACGTGGGAGTGATACGTTATCCCTTATTAAATTTATTAATCGTTCTTGCGTGTGACAAGGCATAAAAAAATCCGTAATCGTTTCTCATCTCGACACGCATCATCGAACGTCACAAGATACGTTAGACAAGAACGAGATCACGAGGTCTCGAGGTCATTATCAAACATTATCACATGCGTGCCATTCACGGAAACGGGGAGAGAATTAATAATTCTTCACTCATTCGCATATCTCTATAAAGAATAAGTATTTATTATTTTTAACATGATAAATGTCTCAATTTATATCAAATCAATTTTGACCGAATCTTGGAGTGGAAACAAGTTTCAAGAATCGCTCCGCGCAATCTTAGAATCGCGATTGCAATAAATATAACCGATTATAACTTCATGATAACGTAAAGGTAATGGTGGCAAAGATAAGAATTGCAGCTGTAGGTGATAAGGACAAAATGCGATGAAAATATCTAGGCTCTTAAACGAGAAAGGAAAGATCAGCTCAATATAATCGCCAATGTGTGCAAGTATGGCGGGCCACGTGACTACAAATTATAAATTACAGTAATTACACGTTCGTCAGATACGTAGATACGAATATTGCTTAATTCTCTTTTTTTTCCCTGTCGAGCGAAGTGAAAGTCGCGTGATGTGTACATACATATACACATGGATCCGGAGACCGCTTATCTTTGCATTGGATGTAGTATAGCCGAGAAGGAGAATGTGATGTGGCATTTCGCGAATAACTAAGGCAAAGAGTGAAGTCAAGACGAAAATGTCGACAAGTCACAATAAACTGAAAATAATGGGTCGATTAGAATCTCAATTCGATAAATTTATAGATATTTTAATCGATAGATTAAAGGATTCTAGGAAACTCTAAATTCTTTGGAGTAGAATCTCATTCTAAAGAATAATTGAAAATGTTTTCTATGTAAGTTTTATTGATTAATTTTAATTTAGTTTTTTTTTAACATTTAATATTTTATAAATTAACTAATTTACTACAGCTTCTTTTTATTTTTAATCGACTATACTCAATTTGCTTTTTAATTATCTTTAGGTAATTTATGCTTATTAATTATATTTAGGTAATTTTTTTTGACTAAGATTATTCCAACTCATCTTCGCTTGACAACAAAAAGATTCGATGATAAATCATCAAAAAAGATAACCAACGCCATACTCATATAAAAACAGGATTTCACAACTTGTAATTATAAATCATCCTCAGTATGTACAACAAAATACAGTTATTGTAACAAGTTCAAGCTAAGTATTAACTGTCACATTTATCAAGATATTGATGTAAATTGATCTATGTATTATTAACGAATATCTAACCTTTCCACCGAAATTGCCGAAGAAAAACTCGTGGTTCCAAAACGTACATTGTTTTTATTGTTCTTATTGAATAAATGATGAAATGTTATTTATAACTTTTTTATATGCTCGAATATTGACTGTTCTTATTATAATTTTGCAATAAAAATTGAACCAATTTTGAAAAAGAGTGGTTCAATTTTTAATCTTAAGATCAGTATTCGTAGTCCGTTCATTTAAGATCGTCTAAGTAAATGGTTGCATTCAGCAGAAAAACCAGCTGTTGTAAAATTTTTTAATGTGATTGATTTTGCCCTTAATTCCTCACTGGATCAAAATGTATAAACTAATCATATTCAAAAATTTTACAACTGTTGCAAAGATGCTTTTTCTGCTAAACACAGCCAATGTCTTAAGATGCTAATGCAATTCTATGATTGATTTATGACATCTTAAAATAGTCTTAAAAATAAGAATCGGTTATAAACCGATTTAAGAGTGAAATTTTACTCTTCACAGTTTCAAAGGGAAAATTGTTAATTTAAATTAATGAGTATTTTTATATCTTTAATTCACAAAAAACAATATAAAAAAATCTCTGTTACGTTATTAAAAAAATCTCTTTTTAATAACGTCATATCCGAAATGTTGGAGCTTGTAATAAAATAAGGTATTTAAGTAATCAATTCACTAGAAAAAAAAAGAATAAGAAAAGGTTCTGTAAAATTGGACTTTATACCTTTGTTTATCTCTCGTCAACAATAATTAATAATCAGTTTATTAATTACTAATTGTTTTTCCTTATAATATTTGATTATTGAGTGACTTATCAAAGCTTACGATGCGGTAAGATGGGTCGGTAGTCCAGTTTAAAAGTTAAACTGTCAAACTAGAAGTCTATAAAGATTATCGACATGCATTTTTCTTCGAAGCAAATTCCGTTGAAGAGCCATAAATTAACTTTTTATCAATAATAATTTGCGTTTCTATCTTCCTTTCAAAATAATTATGACGGTGCAAAAAAAAAACGACTTTCCGACAAAGTAGTATTACGTAGCAAAACATGTTGCCTAGACAAAAAGAATATTGACAAAGTCATTTATTTAAAAAAAATAAGTTATACGAAGGAATGTTCATAAACGCAAATATACCTTAACAAAGATAAAAAGTCAAAGAAAAAACAACGTAACAGAAAACAATATATCGAATGCGACAATACATGAAATGCGAAATTTCGTGGAATATTTGAACGAGTTTAAATTAAAAATGTAACATTATGTTATTTATATATAATTTTTATATTATATAATATCATAATTATATAGGTAACACAATAAATTAATGTATTATGTTATAATTGTAATCGTTACAATTATTATATAACATTGTATATATATATATTATATAATAATTTTACTACATTTAAATTAAAAATTAAAATACTTTTCTTAGATTTGTATCAAAGGAGAAACGAAATATTGTACATTACACATTACGTCGCGTATAATTGCCACAGTGCACCTTCAAATTCAAGAGGCTCAAAGATCATTTCTCATCGCACGCTCTTATCATCATGTCACCGATAGCGTACGTTCCACGCAATTTTTTAATCGCGTGGTAACGCGATTATGTAGCGCCGGGGAAATTCGCTTGACAAGATGCTCGCACTGGAATCTAATCCGTCGACATTGAAGTTTATACAAAAAGCCACGATTCGTACTCTTTTAAATCTCACAATGTAATTAAGGTCAACGTTAAAAAAATATTTGGGAAGAGCTTCACCGAAGCAATAATTGAAAAATATACTTAGCGCATGACTCAATCAATAGTACACTGAAAAAAATGTACTAAATTTCACTAAAATCATTTGTTTGAATACCAATTTAATATTTATTAAATATTACTAATATAAAAAAATATACATTACTAATATTACTAATATAAAGATATATTTATTTAGTACAAGGACCATTAATTTGATTTAACTATCATTTTTATATTGAGTAAATATTAATTAAAATTTAGTACATTTTTTT